AAGGGATTATAAAGTGGGAATATGGTACAACTGCATAAAAAAGAGTATAATAAGAATGTACAATTATAACAATTACACAACGAATTTAGTTGAGGTTTGTACAATTATAATTTTAAAATATAATCAGGAGCCCAGAAACTCTTCTACGCTATAGAAAGCTTTATCGCTGAGATATGTTGATATTCTAGTCCTAACTGCTGACTTGCTACCGCTCATATCTATTAGATTTTTCATCTTATTGAAACATTTTACACCAACATATTTTGGGAAATTTTGACCAATGAGAAGCCTGGAAAAGGGCAGATGAATATTTTCCTTATTCCTTGTATCATGTGCATGTGTTTGGTCATTCTTCAGAAACGTATTTTCATTGTCCTTTATAAACAATATTAAGTTCAAGATGTAGAGACAAGGTAACGTTAGTATTTTAGAATTTCGGAATAATGGCTTACAAGATTCTGAAGGGTGAGTTTTATTCATAGCTCTGATGATTTTTTTTGGGAGCTAAAAACCCCTAGTATGTGAGTTGAGTATCCCCAAAATATTATTCCATATTGCATAGCTGACTGTGCCAGTCCGAAATAAAGAATTCTCAGTACATCAGGTGATACTGTATCCCTCAAATTCCTAATAATGTATTTGAACATAAAGTGGTGATATGGTTTTCCCATGAAAGTTTCCTATCAAGCACAACACCTAAGAACATCATCCTCTCTTTGCTTTCTATCAATTTTCCATTGACTGTTAAGTAGAAATCATTATCAGGATTCATATTTTTTGGTAAAAATCAAATACGATAGGTCTTAGCGGTGTTTAGTGCCAGTCCATTTTTACTATAATAGTCACTGATTTCCTTTGATGCCTTATTACCATTCTTTACTAGTTGTTCATTATTTGTTCTGGACATTAAAATATTCGTATCATCTGTATAGAGAATGATTTGATCTGCAGCAACACAGGTGTACTTTATGTCGCTCGTGAATATTATAAAGAAAAGAGGTCCCAGAATGGAGACTTGAGGTACACCTTTATGATAACTTTCTGTTGTCTTGTATTTTACGGAATTTAATACAACAGTTTGTTTTCGATTGTCCAAGTAAGAAGTTGCCCAGTGTAGAGCAACACCACGAACTTCTATAGCTTCTAGTTTGAGTCTTAATAAGTTATGGTCTATAGTATCAAATGCCCGGCTTAGATCATAGAATAGGCCAATGACATGTTTTCTTTCGTTCAATGCTCTATATATGAATTCCAAACAGTCATAAATTGCAGTATTAGTTGATTTATTTTTTTGAAATCCGTTCTGAATGGATGGCATTAGTTGGAAGTTCTCCAAATAAGCTGTCAATTGTGTGGTGTATGATGTCTCGAAAACTTTTGCAATTTGATTTTGTATGCAGATAGATCTATAATTTTTCATTTCATTTATAGGACCTTTGTTCTTATAAACTGAAATGCATTTAGACTCTGATGGTAGGAAATATTCCAGATGTGAACGAATCATTTATTAGTTCACCTGGGCAATAAGTTTACTAGCAGCCTTCTGGACCTTACCATTTATGCCATCCATTCCTACTGCAGGTTTAGATGTTGTTTTTGAGGTGATTTCCTGAACTTCTTCAGGTGTTACAGGAGTTAGGAAAAAACTTCTATGAAATTTATCGAAATGTTGATCAAGATTTGGTTTAGAACAATTTTGAAAGGAATCTATAAAATAATCATTGACATAGTTGCTTTTTTCCAGTGGATATGTTATCAGTTCACCATTGTCGTTTGTTACACTCATAGAAGGGTTCACCTTATTGTTCTTATTTTCTTTAATGATTTTCCAACTTTCCCTCATTCTGTTGTTTGATTTAAGTAATCGTACATCGTGTTTATGTTTCTGAAATTGTTTCACATGGCTGGTGTATGCTTTTTTACATGTTATATATCTTTCGATATCTTTGGGACAGTTTGAGTTCTTTTTTTGCCTTTCCTTTTCACACAGTTGGTCATGCATTACTTTAATTTCTGGGGTATACCACCGTTTTTTGGTTGATTTTGTTTTTGATTTTCTGATTGGAAATGCGCAATTGTGATGATATAAAAATGTATCGTAAAATGAAGATGATATTTCGTTGAAGGTATTCGCTGTATAAACTTCAGCCCAACTTTCACGAGATATATAAGTTAAGAAAGTTTCAATGTTTGATTCACTGTAAGACCTATTATATTTGTATTCAGTATTTCGAATCTCAGAATTTATTGCGTACAAAGTACATATTTGATAAGTATGGTCAGATAGAAAGGAGATATGTACATCAACATTTTTGACCTCAATGTTCGAAAAAATATTGTCTATACATGTATTGCTTCTACTAGTGATTCTTGTAGGCTCTTGAATATAATGTCTTATGTTAAACTCCCCTAATAGGTTTATTAACAAGTGATTTTTTGCATTATCAACAAGAAAATTCAAGTTTACATCTCCACAAATAATATAGTAATCATCCCTCTTATAGATATCATGAAGTAGCAATTCTAATTTGTCCAGAAAAATGTTCAAGTTACTGTCAGAAGTCCTATAAACTGAGATTATGTATACTTGCTTTTTTCCCTCAAGTCTCATCTTGGCAATACACACCTCAAAGTTTTTTTCAATACTGTAACTTGATTGCAATGCTTCAGCCTCAAGTTCTTCTCTGATAAAAATACATGTCTCTCCTCTTTCATGTTCCTTTCTTGAGAAGCTGAAGATCAGTTTATAGTTTTTTAGATAGATAGATAGATAATATATTTGTCTCTTTAGATTGTTCTTGAATCAGCCACACTTTTGAATAAAATCGTCTAAAGTATAAAATGCTCCTTGGATTAAGAACTTTTTCAGTTTATGTTTGAAAGTTTTTATTTTTGTTTCCGATTTCATGCGTTCAGGCAATAAGTTGAATAAATATGCCCCTGCATACAGAGGTGATTTTTTGTGATGTGATCTGAGTATGGGATGTAAGTGAAAGTCATTTTTCTTTCTCTTATCGTATCTGTGGTACTCACTGTTTTTGTTTAGTTTTCCGTTATTTAAAAGGGTATACGTCAGTAATTTATACAAATAAATAGATGTGAATGTTAAAATATTGTTATTTGTGAAGGTGTTCCTACACGATTCTCTGTAGTCTAAATCTTATATCATTCTGATGAACTTTTTTTTGTATTCCAAAGACTCTGGATGTTTCTGTGGACCTTCCCCATACTATGATGTTGCAGCTGATGGTGCTATATACCAGTGCATAATATAAATTAATCAAGTACGGTCTATGAAAATTTGACTTGAGTGTATAGAAAGCATAATATAGCATTTTGTCTGTATTGTTAATTATCACAGTCACTTCAAGTTCTTCTTCCTTCAGCCAGTGTTCATCAAGGCAAATGATGTCAATTTTGTGTGTTGTTAACAGTATGTTGATGGAGTCACATTTATTTAAAAGGCCTTGTATATTGAAGTGCATTATGTTGAGCACTTGATGACAAGACAAGACAATTTATTTACCACTGANCCTTCATAAAAGCTTCTATTTATTAAAATACTTAGTGGATGTGATAAAATGTCACCAACAGCCTTCATGACATTTCCTGGTACATTATCTATACCCGGTGTTTTTTTGGTGCAAACTTTTAATATAGTCTTATGTATTTCTTCAGGATCGGTAGGGTATAAATAAAATGAGTGGAGCCGGGATTTAATTTTTAGGGTATGGTTTAAATTTTCTGAACCTTTGTTTTTGTTTTGTTCTATGAAATATGTGTTAAAGAAGTTAGTTATATCCTTATCATTTCTTAAGACTGCACCCTCAGTGTTTATCATTTCAGTTATTTTATCCTTGTTTTCCTTATTTGTGTTTTCTTTTATTATATTCCAGCATTCCCGATTCATGTTGTTGGAGTTCAGTATTCTATCGTCATTAAAGGTTCTTTTTGCTATATTAACTTGATTTTCATAATATTTCTTTAAACATTTATATCTTAATGTATAACTATCATTATCAAGTCTTTTTGCCGTTTCTGCTGTTTCCCTAACCAGTTCTGAGAGTTCTTTAATTTTTGGGGTGAACCAATGGTTTTTATTTTTTCTTTTATTGTTATGAAGTTGTTTTGTTGGAAATGATAACTCAAACAGATCAAGGAATTTATTGTAAAACAGTGAGAAGGCTTCTTGACAGTCTGCTTCTTCGTCTAATAATTTGTTCCAATCTACAAGCAACACAAGCAATGTTGTTCCAAAATCGCTTTTGATGTTTCTGAAACTGGATTGTGTTCAGAGAGTTGTGGTTTCATAGTTGTTGTTGGTGGAAGAAATTTATCATTCGCTTGTATCGGGGTAGTTATTTCCGATGATTCATTTTGTCTAAAAAAGAAATTGGTTGTCTCTCCTTTGTGATTTCCTCACCATCAATAATATTTCTTATTCCAT